CGACATATTACCACACACTATACAACCGCAAGGATGATATTGACATGACCCAACCCACCACCATTACCATTCAAAAAATTCCTAGACAATACCAACTTACCACGTCTCTCCGCATCCCAACTTACTTCGCTATCGATACCAATCTGCCCTGCAGAAATTAAGACCCGTAGCATAAAAACACTACCCCTAAACAAATCCCCAGGAAATGACGGTTTTTTACCAACGAATACTTTAAAATAATGGCATCCAAACCTCACAACGCATTTATCTGAATTATTTAACCATGTTGCCTCTACGGGAATTATTCCCCCCTGAATGCTACAGTCAGTAATTACAACCATCTCCCAAACCAAACAAAGATCCCCAACTGGTACAAAACTATAGACCCTGATCTCTCTATTAAACACGGACATAAAGTTATATGCCAAAATAATTGCCCAAAGATTACTTCCTTACCTCCCCACACTTAATCCACCCTGACCAGGTAGGATTTATCCCCGGTAGACAAGCAACAGACGCTACTAGAAGAATAATATCCCTCCTCCACAAGCTTGAAACCACCAAACAACCCTCATTACTCTTATCTTTAGACGCTGAAAAAGCATTTGATCGAATCCATTGGCTTTTTATGAAACACAGACTCCAAAAAATTTGGTCTTACAGATTGGATGTTATCGGCATCACTCGCCCTCTATTCCAAACCATCTGCTACAGTTTCTAAACTAATGGTACACTCTGATAAATCCTTCCAAATTTCTAATGGCACCAGACAAGGCTGCCCCCTCTCTCCCATAATTTTCACTTTATTAATTGAACCCTTGGCCTCTAAACTCAGGGGATGACCCAACATTCACAGGTATTACACATTCCAAAATGGATCATAAAATTAGCCTTTTTTGCAGATGATATCATCCAATGGTTACTAATCCCTACAAATCACTTCAATCGATACGCAGGCACCTCCACAACTACTCAGAAGTCTCCTACTACAAGCTCAATGAACCAAAATCCTCCATCTTAAGCCTATACACTCCTCCTAAGACCCAAACTTTGCTGAGCAAGCATTTGTCCTTCACTTGGGAACTACACAGCATTCCATACCTGGGAATAAGCTCACACCCTCAACTAACCAGTTATATGAAGCTAACTACAAACTTCTACTTGACTCCATTCCACGGGAGCTTAAACAACTGCACACACCCACATTATCGACAATGGGTAGAATAGCAACTTTAAAAATGTGCATATTACCTAAAATACTTTACATTTTCCGTACTCTTCCTATTCCAGTTCCTAATACCTTTTTTTCCAAACTCCAAGCGATACTAAATAAATTTATGTGGAACAAAAAAAAGCCTAGATGCACGACAAATCTACTAATAAGACCTTCCTCCAGAGGAGGAGCAGGTCTTCTCCTCACTTAAAATCTTACTACAACGCTGCGCTCCTAGACCCAGCTCTTCTTCTGGTGGCATCCTACCAGAGATAAATTATGGACCCACTTAGAAATTCCGTCACATCTCCCACATACTCCTGACAATCTATTATTCCTTCCTCTAAATAGCCAAATTCTTCCATTATCTAAACATCCATGTATAAAAGCCTCCTTACAGGCCTGGTCTGACCTCTTATCCATTAATTACCCAGACAATGAAACAACAAAAATTCCTACTCCAATTTCTACACTGCACCTCATCTTTCCCTCATTAAACCTGACACAATGGGAAAATCAAGGTATAACCCGTATTCGAGACTTATTATACAGATCATAAGCTAAAACCCTTTGCTAACCTCCAAGAAAAGTTTCACCTCCCTGACAATGAAAAATTCACATACATGAGAATTGCTCACTCCTTACATACAATAGATATATCTCTAGAACTAACAATTCCCTCCACGGCATACCTCTTCTTTCAGAGAACACACATTACCCCAAGAAGGGAATCTCAACCTTCTATTCGATTATAAATAACACTCAGTTTAATATACATACCACTTCCCTGACTAACTGGGAAAAAATATTCCACCAACCGGTCTCTCCTTACACTTGGTCGAAAACCTTCAATATCACATACAAAGCATCCAAATGTAACTCCCACTGGGAAGCATACATGAAAATCCTACATCAGTGGTACCTAACACCTGTTAAACTCAACCTCTACTACACAACACTCGCCCAAGTGCTGGAGACAATGCGGAGAAATAGGAACGATCCTCCATATACTTTGGTCATGTAAATCTCTCACATCGTATTGGAACAGAGTATTCCAATTGATCTCCACCATATCTAAAGTTCCAACGACTCCAAACCCAGCAATAGCTCTCCTTCATATAGGAATAGAAAATTTTCCCGTGGACTCTCGTACTATCATAATTCACGTACTAGCAGTAGGAAAAAACATTATCACTAAATTATGGAAATCCATCTCATCCCCCTCGCTCTCAACCCTCATTACTGAGCTTAATCTCCATTGTGAGATGGAAAAGAGAACAGCAATCCAAAATTTCATATCACAAATTCTACTTTCAATGGTCTCGGTGGCTTCAAGACCCTAATTGCTCTGTTAATTGACATCTATAATAATATACCACCATACTACTCTCAACACATTTGACTGGTGCCCCCCTCCCCTCCTCTCCCTCCCTTCTAGCCCTTCTCCCCCTACGGTTTATCACATATCCAACCATACTCACCAAGTTCACAATCCTCTGAGCATACCTCTCAAGTATCCGAGGCCCTGCTACATCGTTCCCAGCTAAACAGTGGGAACTCGTTTTCTCTACTGTATGTTTGTTTTCTTGATTATACAATTTATTGTGAACATTTCTCGTTCTATATTTGTGTCACATGTTGTGATAAATTGTTGAAAATTTCTTCAATAAAAACCATTTGAATATAAAATACACCCATAATAAAAATTATAGACCCTTCATTTCTTTGAAAAGGGCACACTTACAAAATCTGCAGGGGATCAAGTAAATATTTTTCCCACTGTATGCAGTCATCTTCAGGTGATTGGTCACTGGAAAAAAAGCTTCTGCGACATCCCCTTTATAACCCCTCCCACTGCCAGATAGCCTCAATTTTGTAGCAAGCAATGGGGAGATCAAAAAAAACAGGGGAGGGACCTGTGACCTGTACTGTACTCCAAGAAATAGATTTTACAGGTACAATTTCCCATTTTATTAGTCACACAGTACGGCACACGGGATCTCTTGTCTTTGTCATGGGATGTCCAAAAGCAGTCCACCCGAGTGGTGAGCATAAAACACACACAGCTCCAAGTAACAATCAGTCCAGATGGGAAAACCTCATCCCTAAACAAAATGGCCCAGGACCACTTTGCCTTCTTTTTGTACTTTATATGAGGAATTAGTCCCTATGGAAAGCACTGTTAATAATAAGTAGGAGGTTGTCATGAAAGTCTGGATTACATTGTTCATTAGTCTTAGAGGATCCCTATAAGATTCTGCATAAGGATTACAGTCTACAAATCCTAATCAGATAAAATGCTACATGGAGGAACACAGCAACAGTACTCACTGTTGGTGCTGCTGTAGCCAATCTTCTTCTTCTCTGAAATATGAAGACATGGAGTTAGACACCAGAAATAGAACTTCAATCCATAAAATGTATTTAAAATATTTTCAAGCCAACAATATCACAGCTGAAAAATATGATTGTTAAATAGAATGCACAGTTTGATGTAAATACAATTATCTTTGTTTTGTTAATGTTGTACATGAGGGCAGCCATATTTGTCCCTTAGATATGCAGGCTGTGCGTTCTGCTTTGCTCTGCTACATGATGGTTTTCACTTTACTAAATTCATTTGGGAACAGAATTTGTTTTTCGGACACAGAAATCTCAGGAGTGGATTAAGAAATCCTCCAAAAGGGGCCTCATTTTCTGGCTGTTTTCTTTTGCTGCCGAAGGAGACACATCCTCAGGTTTGTTTCATGAAGAACTCCAGGAACTGTAGCAGTTTTAAAAGTCTGCTGGTTTATAGGGGGTTAAGTCCAACAAGGTGAATGCCACCCCATGGACTTGTCTCTTTTATTTACTATTTACATTTTTTACTGAGCACCGGAAGTACAGATGTCGGTATACTATTGACACTCAGATGCTGGATCTTCAGATCTCAGATATGGAATCTACAGAGCTGCATGCAGACATTCTTCCTGTCTCTCCTCTCCTTTTGTTCAGTAATGGAAGACATTGTAAAATACGATCCCATTCACAAACTACAAAGTATTCTGTGAATGGATGGTGGGGGGAGGGGGTGGGCACACAGCAGCTGCATCTCGCCTTCCAGAGCACTTCCAGTTTAGTGATAGCTGTACCCTCAGCACTCAATGCATCTGCAAATAGTAAATAAAAGAGATTAATCCACAAGGTGGCATTAAACCTGTTGGATTTACTCCTAAACCGGCAGATTAGTAAAGTTTCTTTGATTTCTGGACCTTTCTTTATGTACACATGAAGGCTGTTCTTTGTTAATCTGGTCCCCAGTCCATACAGCAGGCGCCTGTTTCTAAGCCTTGGGTTAACCTCATTATATTCAGAGATTCCCAAACCCTGACTGAACTGCTAGGGCTCATAAACACTTGTGTCATCCTCAGAAGAGCGATCCATGGTGGAACACTTTTCAGAGGGCTTTTGACAGGTGGATATGAGGTGTTATGTTTTTAAGTGTTACTAAACCCACAACAGTAAAATCAGTCTGTATATGCAGATAAGCATGCTTGTTATACTCACTGTGGAACCTAAGGGGTTAATCCGCTGAAGTGTGTAAAAAGGCTGTTTGATCCTGCTTTCTCCGCCCCTCCTCTTGTTCAAATGTCCACCTGCTAAGACAGACTGAACCCATAGCCACATGCACATGCTCAGTTTAGTGTGTATTGCTAGAGGTTTTTTTTTTTTTCTTGGGAGAGTGCATGTGATCAGCACAGGACCAATCAGCAATGTCCAGACAGAGGTCAGGGGCTTTGCATCCTCCCAAAGCAGAAAGAAAAAACTCCTCCGACAAGCTTTAACCAGTGCTCTGCTGGACACTGATAGAAGACAAAAGACTACTCTAACTGTTGATGAGAAAAGGTATTTAGCAGGTTATATTACTAAAACAATTGCACTTCCGTGTTGTGTGTACTGTGGGAGACCAGATACAGTGAATTCAGGGTCCGGGGAGACCAGATATAGTGAATGCAGGGGCTGGGGAGACCAGATATAGTGAATGCAGGGTCCGGGGAGACCAGATATAGTGAATGCAGGGTCCGGGGAGACCGGATATAGTGAATGCAGGGTCGGGGAGACCGGATATAGTGAATGCAGGGTCCGGGAGACCAGATACAGTGAATGCAGGGTCCGGGGGAGACCGGATATAGTGAAATGCCAGATATATAGTGAATACAGCAGGGTCCGGGGAGACCAGATATAGTGAATGCAGGGTTCGGGGAGACCAGATATAGTGAATGCAGGGTCCGGGGAGACCGATATAGTGAATGCAGGGTCCGGGGAGACCAGATATAGTGGATATAGTGAATGCAGGGTCCGGGGAGACCAGAATATAGTGAATGGGGTCCGGGGAGAGCAGATATAGTGAATGCAGGGTCCGGGGAGACCAGATATAGTGAATGCAGGGTCCTGGGAGGACCAGATATAGTGAATGCAGGTCCGGGGAGAGCAGATATAGTGAATGCAGGGTCCGGGGAGACCAGATATAGGGGAATGCAGGGTCCGGGGAGACCGATATAGTGAATGCAGGGTCCGGGAGACCAGATATATGAATGCAGGGTCCGGGGAGACCAGATAAAGTGAATGCAGGGTCCGGGGAGACCAGATAAAGTGAATGCAGGGTCCGGGGAGACCAGATAAAGTGAATGCAGGGTCCGGGGAGACCGGATATAGTGAATGCAGGGTCCGGGGAGACCAGATAAAGTGAATGCAGGGTTTGGGTTTAGTAACACTTTAACTCTATAGAGCCTGCACCAAACCTGTATGCAATGTATGCAGCCACTTGGCTGTGCCATTACCTTGAATTTGTTGTGAGGAGGTATAATTGTTTTGCAATGCCCATGACAGAAAGAACTCTGGCTGTGGCATGTGTACAACCCCCTCTAGCCATTGTGTTAGATTATGGGGGTGGTAAGGGAGGGGTAAAACCACTGCTCAACAGCCTGGTATTACTGCCCCCTGGCCTCAAGTGTAAAGGAGGCCTTATGTAAACAGTAAATAGAGCTTTCATAATTGCATTCTGGCTTTCTCTTTTCTATTTCTCATGCCTTTGTGTTGGTCACCAGTTTTATTAGCTGCCTCACTGACCAATAAGAAGGCATGGGATGGGAAGGCAGAGTGCTACAAATCTTAGGATACTAAAGAGCTCTAATGACATTCAAATGGTGCAGGTACCTAGAGGATTCTGTACTGCAAACTGGGGACCAATTTAATGAGGTTTACTTAAAAAATAGTTACTAGTTCCTGGATTTAATGGGAACATTTCAGGATAGAATATACTTACTCATCAAAACAACAACTGCAATAATAGCAGCAAGAACAACATGGACTCCAATAACGGCACCAATGATCACTCCGACTGAGAGGCATTGCTTGGTGGATCTGACAGAGATAAACAAAGAGAATGTGAGATATTAGAGACTTTAGGATACTGGTATACAAATTATTGAGTTTACAAAAATATGAAAAGTATTGGCCACCTTTAAATGCATTATTCCTGCACTATGTATAGAAGAATGTGTAAATGTCATTTTTTTTAAAATGTAAAATTTGTTTAAAAGTTCTTTAAATGAATTTTGTAGTAAATACAAATTACAAGCTGAATTATTAGAGGGGTTTAGATTCATGTTCATTGCAAATATAGGAAACGTAAGCTGCCATGAAATGAGTGAAGAAGAGAAGACAGAAATTTCCTGATAACCTCCTACACAGAGCTGTGTGATGTGTACAGATAGAGACAGAGTGTACACACAAAAGAAAAAAAAAACAGGAAGGTAAGAAACTTTTATGCAGAAGAAAACACACAATGTAGTCTAATGTCTAAAATATTGTTCTTTGGATGTCTTAGGGCTCATGTACACGGGGCGTTTGTAACACTTTTCTGAACGATGGAAACTGACTGCTGGAAAACATAGGTTAAAAAAAAACGTCAGTTTAGCCGCGTTTGCATGACGCATTTATGCACGTTTGCGTTTAGAAGCCTTTTTAAAAGATAACCTCAGGAGGCATTCCCAAATGCCCAGAATGCACTGACAAATAGTAAATTCACTAAAAAAGGCTACTAAAATACCACAGGAGTTATTTTATCAAGTTATGCGGAATTTTAGTAGTGAAAAGCATGCATCATATTTCAGCTGTCAGCGGGGTTCCCACTGACAGCTGAATGTAAAAGAAAGAATTGCCGGCAATTAAAAAATAATAAAAAAAAAACAGCATAGGGTCCCCCCTCCCATCCATACCAAGTCCTTTGGGTCTGGTATGGATCTTGAGGGGAAGCCCCACCCCAAAATTAAAAAAAAAAATGGCATGGGGTTCCCCCCAAAATCCATACCAGACCCTGAGCATGCAGCCCGGCAGGTCAGGAAAGGGGGGGGGGGGTGAGCGAGCTCCCCCCCCCCAAAGCACCTTATCTGAGACAAGGACAAGGGCCTCTTCCCTACAACCCTGGGCTGTGGTTGTGGGGGTCTGCAGGCGGGGGGCTTATCGGCATCTGGCCCCCAGATCCCCCCCCCCACGTTAATAAGTATGGTGTACATGGTACCACTAGCCATTCACAGAAAAAAAACCTGTAGTGTGGAAAAAAGACAGGAGTCATGCTTGTGCTCCCCCCCCCCCCTTTCCTGACCTGTCGGGCTGCATGCTCGGATAAGGGTCTGGTATGGATTTTGGGGGGGAACCCCGTGCTATTTTTTTTGGCATGGGGCTTCTCCTCAAAATCCATACCAGACCCGTATCAGGAATGGATGGGAGGGGGGGGGGAACCCCACGCCGTTTTTTTTTTAAATTATTTTTTAATTGCCGGCAATTCTTTCCTTTACATTCAGCTGTCAGTGGGAACCCCGCTGACAGTTGAAACATGATGCATGCTTTTCACTACTAAAATCTGCATGACTTGATAAAATCATGCGGTATTTTAGTAGCCTTTTAGTGGATTCAAATGGGGTTTTTTAAAAAAAAAATGCTATGCGGTTCCTACCCCATACTCGGATGCGGTAGGATACCGCTTAGTGAATTGTGCCCTGGATATGGACCAGTCAAAAAACGCTTATAAACGCAAACTCTTATAAATGCGGTTAGCCACGTTTACAAGTGTTTGGCATTTGAAATGCTGATAAAAACTACTCCTTAACGCAAGTTTGGTGCGTTCAAAAAAACGACTGTAAACTTAACTGCCTGTAAACGACGTACATAGCGTACATGGACACACAGAAAAATATTAGGGAAAGTTTAGGGGCTGCTGGAAAAAAAATGCAGAAAAGCTCCTGAATGTCAGTTTATCAGCTGCAGTGTACATGGAGCCTTATGCATTCACATAGGTACAAGGAATGATTGCAGTATTGTGTGCGATAAAAATCATCTCCTATGATCATCAGCTCCATCTAGTGGCCATAATGCATATTTTTTTTGTTATTGAGCCATTTCTGATAAATACCACATTATGGCCTCTAGATGGAGTATATGATCATAGGAAGATAATTATGTAACACACAATACTTTGTATACAGACACAGGTCCCCATCTGCAATATAAAGCCTTCCACTTTTTGGGTACACTTTTCACTTTTTTTTTTTCAAGTGCAGTAATTCATAGCAACCAATCAAAATATACTCTGCTAAAGTCAGACTATTATAGGATAGATTCTGATTGCTTGCTATGAGTTAGTGCACCTAAGAATACAAAATGTCTATATCTGCAAGAAGTACTGAGAAGGGAGTGGGACTGCTCTGTGTGGACATGAAATGTCCTCAATATTTAAATATTAGAATTTCATAGAAAATTTATGTCACATGGAATAACAAAAACACTTTCAGTTGCACTCTTCCTCTATTCTTCCAGGTGTCATGTATTCTTTGTAGATATCACTCACCCCATTTCACACTGAAAGTCTCTTCCCCCAGGCTGCTGTGGTCCACATGACAGAAGTAAGTGTCTCCCTCCTTGGTTGGCACTTCCACACTGACTCTGATCTGATAGGTGCCATCAGGATGGGGGAGAGAATTGGAGTCATTTCATCTGAAGGAACATGGTCCTCCCCATTCCTCATCCACTTCACATCCACAGGTCGGGGGTGAAACCCGTACACCAGGCAATGAAGTCTGGTCACATCATCCGACTGACGGGCGGCCCCACACCTTCACCTCTGGACGCACTGAGAGAGAGAGAAAGAGAAAAATATTTCTGCTGGTTGTACAGGAGGTCATGTTCTGATGAGTTTCATATGAAAAATATATAAAATGTGAAACTTCCCTGGGATAGATCCGTGTAAATATGGATGATAGTAGCCAACCGTACAGTGAAAAGGATAAGACAACAGACATACATGTGCAAAAAAGTTCTGTAAAAAAAATTGTTTAAAGCCTCTACAACCGATTCCTTTCCTCATACAGTCATCAGTGTGAAGGTGTGACAAGTGAATGTATGTAATGGATAAAGGAGACTGAATGGTATAGGAAGCAGCATGTGACATCATCTACTAGAATTATTATTTTACAAAGAAGTAATCTAACTGGTACTTGTAGTCACAATTGTTTATATACATCAAACCTATTTGTCCATTACATGTGACAGCTGTGCTTCCTGCTTAGCATTGCCGCACAATTGTGCTATATACAGAATGTATGGAGGAATCTCTCCTCTGCGGTTATTGTATTTTCACAGCCTCAGCCTGTCAGAATATCAGAACAGTGGCTGCATATAACTGAATGCAGCTGCTGCACGGCCAGGTTTTCTGCTGGTCTTCTTTCGATTTTCCAAATGAAGTGTTAGGAGGGAGACAGCGACCGAGTCAACCATGCAGAAAATGTTGTCTGTTTCCTTAGGAATCGGCTATAAACACGTAGATTGTGTATGCAGCTTATGGCCGACCCCAGTGTTCTCACAAACCAGGGAATCATCGTCTGGGAATCCAGAGGTATCCGACTTTTATCTGACATCCTTCACCCTAATGGGAATATTGTGTCATTCTACCTGGTACAAGACACCGCACCGAAATCCCACTTCTCCAACCACATACAAGTATTTGGAAGACTCGAGGCCCAAAGCTTGGAATACAGACCATGGCTCCGAACTGTCCCTGATTTCAAGGGACTATCCCTGATGTGGACTATCCCTGATGTGGACCAAAGTCCCTCTTTCCTCCTCATTTGTCCCTCATTTTGGTCTCATCTATATAGTTGTATATAAAAACGCATTTTTATCTTTCAAAAAGTGTTTCACAGTTGTAAACCTTTCATCTAAATTCTAAATTGCTGCTTCTGTAAATTTCAAAAGCTAGTATAAAGTATTAGTAGTGATAAAAAGAAGCATTATTTAATTCTCCTTTAAGGGACGTGGCAAGGGGTGTGTCCGGTGGCTCCATACATTTGCTAATAGGTGTCCCTCGCCCCCATCTGGAAAAGTTGGGAGGTGTGATACAGACTCATCTGCCTGTAAAAGCTCAAGGTTTTACCTACATGCATTTGCACAATGTAAAAAACCTTCTGTGTGCAGCATCCTCCCCAATACTTACCTGAGCCCCATCTCCATCCAGCGATGTGCGCGGGAGCCTCAGCTGTCCGGAGACTCTCCCTCCTTATTGGCTGAGACAGCAGCGGGAGCTATTTAAGCCAATGAGAAGAGAAGTAGGGCGGGGTTGAGCTGTGGCTCTGTATGTGAATAGACACGCAGAGCAGAAGCTGGGGGGCGAGCCTGCTTGGGTGCCTCCATAGCAAGCTGCTTGCTC